TTGTCAAAATGTGTTTCACCGTTGATATAAAGTGGCACTTCTGGTTAGCCGATTTTAAGGAAAAAGTTGCTGTAACGTCTAAGGCGTTACAAATATACCTGTCTTAAGTACGTAATATCAGTGTACAACTTTTTGTTTTTGAGCTAGACTATTCACATACATACACACAAACAGACCATTTTGCGGGACTTGGTTATTTGGACTCAGGAGACCTCAAAACATGTATTTCCATTTAAAACTCAGATTCGAAAATTTTCACAATCACAATACTTACCCTTACCTTTCTATATATTTCATATATAGGATAGGTAAGTGAAAGTAAAAAATAGTCTGTATATTTTATAATGTCTTGAAAGGGTAAATTAGAAATTCCACTGGTGATGCCTGTCTTCAATATCTACAGAAAGAGTAAATTCCCTTCTATCAGAACTAAATTTGCAATAAATAATTAAATAGAAGTTTATAATCTTTTAAAATTTGCAATAGATCAACAATAACAATAATATAATTTAATTCCAAACAAATAATTTTATGTTTCTAAAATCTGTTCTTTTTTTCTTACTTTCATTTTTGTGTAATTTATCATAATATCAAGTAAATTTATTAAAATTCTAATAAAGAACACTTTATAGTACTCTCATACCAAATATGTCAGTTATATCTTGTAACATTGAATCTGTCTAGCTATATCATATATCTAGCTAAATAAATTAGATCAACTGGTCTGGTTGAGGTCGTAGGTTTGAGCACATCTTAACAATAAGAAGTTCACATTGAATACTAAAAAGGTTGCTATCTACTTCACAATAATAGAAAACAAAATATATGTTAGTAGGGAACGTAATGGAACAAAAATCACTGTAAGTAATATTTTCTCAATCTCAAATAACCCATAACTGGAAGACTTAATAATATTAATTTAGTAATAAATTGTAAAACATAATCAAATTTCCTTTTATTATAAATACATTTCTTAATCTCACTTTTCTGGCCTTCCAATTTAAGTCATAATCATGGCTAATAGGTAGATATCAACAAAAATAAGAACAACTTTGTGCATATAAATGAATATAAATACAAAGTATTGAACATGGTATGATCTACAATGTAAAAATTAACATATAAAGAAAGAATATATTGCAATATCAAATACATTAATAAAATAAATGTTTCTCACCTTCATCTGGGACAATGAACTCCTTCTCACGTTTTATGGGAATAAGTCCATCTGTCAATATGTAAATAACATTTTAAGTAAGATGAAAAAAAAAACCTTATTATAATATTAAAAATTAATTAAGAAATCAGCAATCACAAAAAAAAAAAGGAACAATTGTATTGTCTAGTTTCCTGTATAATAATTAAGTTAAATAATCCCCGTGATCTCCTAATGTAGTCATATCATTAGAGTGCTACCATTGGGTAGTTACTCAGCAAGTGTATTCATGTCATTATATCAATTATGTCCAAATTTACTTGATGTATTTATGTAATACAGTTGTAAATGTCATAAAGAAATTAAAAAAAAAAAGTTAAATAATACAAGAAACTGGACAGCCTTATAAAAATGACATCCAGACTTCTATTTACTTAATGGATTTCTCTTAAATAAAAATATTCCAAAACTATCTCAATTAATGAAGGAAGGAATTAATCAACAAATATCAATTAACAGTGACCAGTAGAGCTATCACTAAGGTCGTATTTTACTCTCATGGTTGTTTGGAAAACAGACAAAAAGTGAATAAGTGGTTAATGTATACCTGAGGTAATTGAATACAATTGAACTGATAAATTTCTTCATGATTTGTTATTGAACAATTTATTTCATCATTTGTTTTCAAATTAATTTGTCACTACGGTGGGTGTTGATACTGAAGTTCAATACTAGGAACAAATCTCAGTTTTGCAATCTATGCTAAATACTGTGACTCAATACACATGTCACTCGGTATTGAGAAATGTGCTATTCTTCATGTGATTAAAGGGAAGCCAAGTAACTCTGAGAACATATTTAATGAAGCATTGCATATTAAACACCTAAAAAATGAAGAGCTATATAAATATCTTGGGATAGAACAGCATTTTAAAATAGCGAGCAAAGAGGCAAAAAACAGACTGATAGAGTCGTTGAAAAAGAGATTGAAAATTATTCTTACAACATACCTATCCTCAGGTTCAAAAATAAAAGCTGTGAATACGTGGGTTATACCAGCCATTTCTTACAGTTTCGGAAATTTAAAATGGTCTACAACTTCACTCCAGGAATTGGATAGATTTTTTTGGACGAGTATGACTAAATACAGAATGCATCACCCAACTGCATCTATGGCAAGACTTTATTTACCAAGAAAAGAAGGTGGGAGAGGTCTCATAAACATTGAAGAATACTTCAAACAAAGTGAAGTACCTTTTCATAGGATAATGTGCAATCTCGACCATGGACTCACAGCATTACAATTAGCCACTCCAGAAACTGCTGTATCTGTAATTTTCACGGACAATGACCGACTGGAAGAATGGAAGTCAAAAACCCTGCATGGAAGATTTTTTCACCAACTCCAACAAACTGAAATAGATAAAAAATTCTCTACTAGTTGGTTGGTTAAAGGAAATCTCTTTCCCAAGACAGAGGGCTTTCTGATAGCAATCCGAGATAAGGTCATAGCAAAGAGGTCTTACTTGCGACATGTCTTGAAGCAACAGACAGTAGCAACAGACAGTAGTATCAGACAAGTGTAGGCTCTGTGCCAGCACGTTCGAGTCTATTCAGCACATAACTGGAGGGTGTGGAGCGCTGACTGTTACAGAATATCTCAAGAGACATGAAGATGTTGTAAACATTTATCATCAGGCAATTGGTCTAAAAATAAAATTAGTGAATGATTCAATACCTTATTATAAGTACAACCCTAAAGAACTTATCCAGAAGGAAGGAATGAAATTGTATTGGAATCAATCTTTTATAACAGATCATACTGTGCTCCATAGCAGACCTGATATTGTTTTGATAACAGTAATACGAAAACAGTAGAGATAATAGATATCGCTGTATCGAATGATGGGAACACCAACTCAAAAATACGGAAATATCAAACTCTTGCAGCCGAGTTAAAAGATCTCTACAGATTGAACAAAGCGACAGTAAGGGCTTTAGTGATCTCTAGCAATGGCCTGATTCCAAAATCCACTGTAGAAGCTACCGAGAAGTTAGGCCTATCAACAGCTGCGATAAATGAAGCCCAGAAAGCTGTGTTGCTGAACACTGCGAGAATAGTAAGGAGCTTCCTTAATATCCAATAAAACTACAAAAATTAATGTGAAGAGGTTGAAGTTAATTCTTCCCCACTCCAGGATAATACCTTTTTTTAAAGTGATAAAAAATAAATAATAATAATTATTTTATTAATAATAATTTTCTATTCTAAAATCACAGCAAAAGATATAAATATATGAAAAAGCGAAGAAGAAAAACCGCTAGAAAAAAGAAATTCTGCGATCACTGTTGAGAAGATCCAAAATCTTAGAAAACATAACAAGGACTGAGGAAAACATTATTTGGTGGAAGAAATATGTAATAGACAGATGAAGAGAGTAGCGCTATAACTATGCAATTTAAGAGAACCGAATGAGGTGGCAGAGGACTGTAGGCGTCTACGCTAGTGCTACTTTTCTGCCGATTAAATGCATTTTCCAAAGTACCATTTCAAATATGTTAAAAGTCGCCAATCCGCCATGTATGGATGCTATTTTGGGACAGTGCGACCACTGTTTTCATAGGAACTTTGGCTTTTTTTTAATATATAGTTACAACAAACACGATAAGCAATTTATAGTGATGTGGAGCCTCCAAAAGTGCCCCACAGTGGAAGGGTGCACGGGAAGGGGTTTTGGTCCATGGACTACCATCTCCCACCAAAATCTCCCCCCCTCTCTATCACCCCTCCTTCTATTACTAAAATATAATGCGCTGTAAAATTATAAATTATTATAATTCTACATACATTTGATTGATTTCCTTTATTTGTTAAAGAACATGATTTCTTGTACAAATAATTCAAAATATGTCTTCATGTGAGTCGATTCCAGGAGATGAATCAGATATATATTGCTGCAGGTATCTCTCTCTATGTACTTTGGATGATGAACACTGGAGAAGAAGATGGTGTAGGCTTTTAAATACATATTGCTTACAGGCACTGCAAATTTTATCATCTTGTATAATGTAAGATTTATTTTGCAGATATATACTTCAGGTGTGTGGGTTCTTAAACGGCTGACAACTCGCGTTTTGTGTATATAAGTATTAAAAATTAAATACTCTTCAGGAGTAAAATCTAGACGGCTGGTAGTTCTGTAGGCTGGGTTATTATTTGAATTCAGAGTTCTATTGATGTCTTGAGACATCAACTAAAAAATATAATAAAATACTAAAATGAATAAATATTTACTTCACTGACTCATATCAGACAGGTTATTGAAGATAAAAGACAATTGTATGTGACCTAACATGTAAAGTAATAAATAATTAATAAAATTTTAAAACCTGTATCTCGTAAACTATTTGATTTACTGAGCTTGTTCTGGTCTTAAAATTTAGCATATTAAATCTAGTTTAAACATGTATAGAATGTTTTTTGTCGAAAATGAGCTCCTTCATGGATGAAATAAGGAAATGCCGAAAAAAGTGCAAAAATATGGCAGTTTTTGGTATATTCAAAACGATCCGGGGGGGGGGGGGGGAGAGGAGAGGAGGGGAGGGCGAGGATGAAAACTTGGACGTTGCATCTCAGTCATATCCATACAAGAAAGTAATAATAAACCTTCTACCCCAATTCAATATAACTTACAATGTACAAAGTTACTGGGCTAATAGTTTTAAAACTTATTTACAAAAATAGATGTTCTCAATTCATCAAAAATTAACAAATAATAATAATGGAAATATATTCTTCATTAAATTAATCCCAACTTTAAATGTATGATGGAATGGAGAGGGCTTTAAAAATAAAAATAGTATACTAACAATAATGAATAATATGCTTTAATCATTATAAAAACTGGTGACAAATTCTTAAGGATAAGTATTTAAAAAACACTATTATAAAAAAGAATAAAATGAGAAAGAGGTCCTGAAATGGATGAAACTGAAACACTGACCAATGGAGATTCTATGAAGAAATTTTTAAGAGATAAATTATATTTCGAAATAAATAAATGGTTACTAATAATCATTCATCACTAAAATTAACCCACCTCTCAGGTTGACAAAGATTTCACGATGAACTATCAGGGGGAATATCCGCATGTAGATCCTCAGGTACTTCCTCTGTGGTCTGTTTGAAGGTAACCCTGCCAAGGCCATAGCCCACCTGCATGCTTTGTGTCTTCAGACTCTTGAGGCTGGTTTCTGAGATTCCCAAAGTAGCAAAGAACCCTTTTTCCATTTGCTTCATGAAGTGAAGGCTCCAACTGCGAACACCCTCTATTTTCGGGTTCTGCACCCTTAGCCTCTTTAATAGAGCTTCCTCAGTCATTTTCTTGCCAGGGAAGAATGAACTTACTTTCATGATTTTGACAAGCTCCTCTTCAACACCGGCGCGAAGAGTGATACCCTTCCCAATGATAATGTCAGGAATGACTTTTGACAGCCATGTCTTGGAGGCTTCATTGTCACAAGATAGGATGCAACCACCCATTTTAAAACTGATGCCATTGAATAATGGATGGTCATCTCTAGTCTCATCGATCTCATCCAATTTGTCGGTAATCATTTCTTTGAGTACTTCACACTGCTCGTGGGACAGCTGGGTCAGCGGATAGTTGCTAGGCACTATCGCGACTCTATATCCACTGTCAGCCTCGGTATGGGTTTTTGATACACCAACGATTACTTTGGGTTTTTTCGCAATAGATCCAGAAGACCCAGGAGAGTTTCTAGGTCTTTTTCCCTCCTCATGTCCTGTCTTAGCGAGCTGCCTTTTGGGTTCTATACCCTTGATTGTCGATCTTGCAGACCTTCGGAGCGTCCTAGTTGTATCTATGACCCGTCCTTGCTTTGATGCCTTCTTTTTAGGCTTCCTAGTCTTATTTGCTGATTCTGTATGATGCGACACTATATGTCTTTTTAAATCTCTTAATCTGACAGACCTATAGTCACAATGAGAACAATGGAAAGGTTTCTCACCAGTATGATGGATCATAATATGTCTTTTTAGATCATATGGGTGTAATGTTTTATAGTTACAATGAAAACAATGATGAGGTTTCTCACCAGTATGATGGGCCATAATGTGTTTTTTCAATGTAAAATATTGTATTGTTTTATAATCACAATAAGAACACTTATGAGGCTTCTCTCCAGTATGATGGGCCATTACATGTCTTTTTACATTGGTTATCCTTACAGTTTTAAAATCACAATGGGGACATTCATAAGGCTTTTCATCAGTATGGCGGGATGTTATATGTGTTTTTAAATGACTTGTTTTTAATGATTTATAGTCACAATGAGGACATTTATGATATTTCCCATCTATATGACGGGTCTTAATATGTCTTTTAAAGCGATTTGGGTATCTAGTTTTATATTCGCAATGAGCACAACAAAAAGACTTATCATCCATGTCATGAGATATAACATTTTCCTTTGATTCCAAATCGGCTTCCAATGCAGAAAAACTGGTCTCCTTTATCTCATCAAGATAATCTTCAGAACCTACAAACAAAGATAGCCGATTTAGAAAATATTTTGCTCCATAAGTGAATGAGTTCAGATAATGTTAATGTACTAGCAGATTCAAATTGTTAGGTGATTTGTAATTGATGATCTGAAGTGTATTCGTTAATAGCCCCTTGTTCAGAAAAATCCTTAGATATCTATAAAACAGTCACCATTCCCTTTCCCTTCTTGCATAATAGTTAACAACAAAAACTATTGATAACAGATGTAAGAAATGTAGTGAGGGAGAAAATTTTTGAATTAAGATAATCTAATTGCTGCATGATCTCTCTTATTTTTAAATTTAACATTTTTTTTAAATATTTAATAATGAATGTCAGAAATTGGATTTTAATGAAGGGACAACATGAAAATTATTAAACCGGTACTAGAAACATTTAGAGAAGACTTGGTTTGATCTGCATTTTAAGAGGAAAATTGTAATCACCCTCATCTCCTGGAATACCAAATATGAGGCATCACATTGACTTCACCGAACTTAGTTGTCTAGGTATCTTCAATTTTCTTAAAACGAAATTTCATTCATATAACATATAAATCTAAATTTAATAATTTTTGTAACCTCCATAAACAGCTCACTATAAAAACTGAGCAACGGATTTTCCTCTTAAAATGCAGATCAAACCAAGTCTTCCCTAAATGTATCGAGTACCGGTTTAATAATTTTCATGTTGCCCCCTCATTAAAATCCAATTTACAACATTCATTATTAAATTTAAAAAAAAACTTTGTTAAATTTAAAAATAAAAGAGATCATGCAGCAATTAGATTATCTTAATTAAAAAATTTCCTCCCTCACCACAATTCTTACATCTGTTATTGGTGAAGAAAATATTACAAAACTCAAGTACAAGATTTGTTTACAAATTTGTTCCTCTGTTAAAACCATCAAAAAGCAGTCTCTCCAATCTAAATTTAACGAAATATGTCAACATTCTCTTTAAAATAAAATTTATCCCAAAGGCAGTGAAAAATGGCTCAACAATATTTCCTCTACCAATATACCTCCTCAGGTAATCAATATTTTAAGTTTGGAACCCAATTTCTCTTCCCCCTTTTCCAAATCTCACCTCTAGCCTAATTACAGAACTAGAAGCCATATACAGAGATAACCGATTCGGAGTTAACGAAGAGGAGAAAGAATTATCCCGCATTCGGATCAGTAACATGATTTCCAACCACCTTCACATGACTTCCACACCCTCCATTCCGTTCGTTCTCTTTATCCCCCCTGTTTTTTAAAGATTTATCCTTAACTCGCTCTTTCCTCAAAACAAACGGCCACCTCATTATTACTAAGGCTGACAAGGGAAATTCGACCGTTATTATGGACAAGACCGAATAATCACATAAAATGCATCAACCATTTTCAGAACAAACCACTTATGCACCCTTTCCCTGTGACTTAACCCGTACACTAATGTTAAAATTCAACCAAGACATGAAAAACTTACTTGAGACCAAATCAAATTAACCGCCTCACTTACTACAACCTCATAGCCTACAACTCCTTAGCACCCCGATTATATGGACCCCAAAAATTCACAAACCTAGAAATCCCCTCCACCCTATCATCTCCAATATTAACACCCCCTCAGCTAAACTCAGCAAATTCCTTTTACTCTCTCTCCAAAAACTTAGTCACAATAATCCTTATGACATTAATAATTCATTCCACCTTAAAGAAGAGTTATCTTCTCTCCATATTCCTGACAACTTTTTAATTGTGTTCCTAGACGCCGAAAGCCTATTTACTAACATCCCAATTGACAAAGCCCTCCACATTGTACAGAAAAACTGGACAATCATCGAACCTCACACCACCCTCAACCTCTCCTCATATCTTGAATCCTTTGAGCTTTGTTGCAGATTCGGATACCTCACTTTCCAAGGAAAATTCTTTAGCACCAGATATTTCCAACATTGTTCTTAATGACCTCCTAGACTCTGTTATCCCTTCTTTTCATCAAGACATCATTTTCATCAAAAAATATGTCGATGACCTCCTCCTTGTTCTTAACCCTGACAGCATTCCTCAAATTCTTTCCTCATTCAACTCTTATCCTCCCTCCCCCCTCTCCCCTCCCCCGTCTTCGTTTCACTATAGAGAAAGAAGTTGACAATTCACTTCCCTTCTTAGACCTCCTAATAATAAAAACCACTGATGGCTATGTTTCTACTGACTGGTACACTAAACCCACATACTCAGGCAGACTACCTAACATTTATTTTGAACACCCATATCACCAAAAAATCAATACCACCAAAAACCTTATTCACCGATCTCTCTCTTTATCTGATCCACAATATCACCAAGCCAACACTCAGCGTGTCAAAAATATACACCTTTCCAATAATTTCCATCTCAACACTATACTTAAACTTCTTAACTGCTATACAACCAAAAAGAGTACAACCTCCCCTTCTCTCAACTCCCCACAATCACCTACCACTCCTTTCATATACAAATCTCTCCCCTATATTCCTAATCTCTCAGATAATATACAAAAATTCCTTAAATTGACTATAACCAACGTCTAGGCCTTTAGTCCCATAACAAACTTTGTTTCCTTTTCACCAATTTGCAGGATCCCAAACTTTTAAAACATCGATCTAATGTAGTTTACCGGATGCCTTGCTCTACTCCTAATTGTAATAGCTCCCATATTGGTGAAACCAAAAACCATCTCAAAACCCGCATTTCCCAACATAAAACATCCATTACTTCCCGGAACCCTTCAGCCTCCAAACTATCAGAACATGCCTTAACCCTCAACCTTCATTAGATTTTGAAAAAAAACCTCTATTCTTGCCATGGTCCCTAACTATGAAAAAAGACTCATTTCCGAATCCATCTACATTTACATGAACAAAACCCCGTTAATTATGAAGTAGATAAAAACTACATTTCTTTAACATATAGACACATTTTAAATCTTATTAGTGAAAAATAACCTATATATTATATTGTATTATTTTTATCTACTTTCAATTTTTATTGATTAATTCAATTTAATTATTCATTATTCTAAGTATTTCCGCTTTGTATGATCTCTCTTTTATTTTATTTTAATTTTATATTTACATTCTACATCAATTTATGATCATCCGTTTTCACTTTGTATTCATTTTACTTTTTAACCACATCTCAATATTATCTAACATTTAAATGTAATTTTCGTACATATGTACAACCAAATATAATTATAATTATTCAACTCTTTTTCTTTTATCTCTATTTTAGTTATCATTTGTATGTATATATTGTGTGAATGTTTAATGTAGCCCTAATATTAATGCCCTCCAATACGGCAGAATGTATTAATTTTCAAATAAAAAAAAATAAATATTTATAATTTTTTTCCCTCTCTACACTTCTAAATTAGTTCTGCAATGTATGGTCTCTTATTTCTATATTTATATTTTATTTCTATGTACGTTTTACTTCTTCCATTTATGTTTTTTGTACACATTGTACTCTTATCAATAATCTCGTAATTCTATTTCATATATATAGTATTTTTCCCTTGTATCCATCCATATCTTCAAATTTTAGATACTATAATTTTCTAGGTTTTTTCTATTACCCAAACAGGTCAGCGAATTCCCCAATACCTACCCTTACCCTGATTTTCCAGTTCTAAGTGAAGCTCCTAGCTGAACACACCTGCAAGTCTTTATTTTTATTCTTCTAATTTTATTTACTTATTTATTTATTTTTTGGTTTTCTTTTTTCTTTTCTTTCTCCACATTCCTTTATGTATATTATTTCATATTATATCCTTTTTCCTTTTCTTTCAACCTCTCCTGTAGATCTTTATCAGTATATATTCACATTTGCATATATTATATGTTATACTACAACAATTGTTACCATCTGTTTACTTCAGTTTAGGATCTTGTTACTTAGCTTACTCTGTTTATATATCAATGTACTTACTGTTTATAATTTAAATAAGCTTATTCACATTGTTTATAATTGTTTGTCTAAATATTATGTAAATTCCATAATTCTCTATATCTTTTTATATCTAGTCCTTTCTAGCCCTGAAGAAGATCTGCAAAGTCGGTTCGAAATGTTTGGCTATTTAGCCTATTTATGGCCGCCACCCCGGACCATCTCCCTCCTTTATGATGCAATGGCCAACTTCTAAATATTAAAAAACTATTGAGGTAATCATCAATAATAATCCAGCTAATTCCCCAAATGAATTTTTAAATACAAAAATTTAGATTAAGATTGCAGAGTGATTACCAACCAAAATATTTTAAAATTTATTACTGAACTTTTAATTCATTGTATGACTGAACTACTGCCTATTTATTCTAAAACAACCATTAAGGCCAAGAATTTTTCATCTTAAATAATTCATGGTAAGACATACCAGAAACAGGCGTATGACCACTTACATTCCCAGTAGAGAATGGAGAAAGGAATGGATAATATATAAAGGTAAAGTAAATCTGATAAAGTAAATACAACTAAATATAGACGATATTCCTTACCTTCATCTGGGTCAAGCAACTCTTCTTTTTTGACGCGAATAAGCCCATCTATAAACATAAAACTTTATGTTGTAAAAACACAATAAAAATAAATAGCTCATTGCACATATTAAACAATTAATCAGAAAATTTAAAATAAGTAATCACAAGTAAAACAAAAAAATCTGGTGAACGCAACACACAATTTTCACTTACCGCTCTACAGAAAATATTTTCTGGCAATGTAGGGCTATTATAAAATTTTTGAAATTCATTTTAAACGGAGCTAAAGTTTAAAGCTTACAGATAACAAATCATTAAGACCATAAAATTAGAAAAAGTCTATTTATTACATTGACAGTAGGCAATAAAAATCTAGTAACTATCTGCTTTTATAAACCACACAACTTCAGTCTCAGAGCCTTTCACTTGGCAGAATGACTAACTCCAATTTCAACATTTTTTAATGTCATTTTAGTGATATTTCTAGTTAAACAAGTTATATCTATACAGACAGTGAGTAAGCTGATTCCAGAATAGATGATTGCAGTGTTGAAATATAGAACTGTGAATAAAAGTATACATTTTGCCACTAGAAAGATCACAAAAATTTATAATAAGGAATGTTGAAATTGGTGTTAGTCATTCTGGCAACCGAAATGCTCATATATGCCTAGAGTAAATTAGAAATTAAACTGGTGATGCCTCAGTCTCCAATAATATTTACAGAAAGTGTAAATTCCCTTTTATCAGAACTAAATTTGCAATCAATGATTAAATAGAAGATTATAATCTTTTAAAATTTGCAATAGATCAACAATAACAATAATATAATTTAATTTCAAACAAATATTTTTTTTTCTAAAATCTGTTCTTTCTTTCTTACTTTTATTTCAGTGTAATTTATCATAATATAAAGTAAATTTATTAAAATTCTAGTAAAGAACACTTTATACTACTCTCATACTAAGCCTGCGCGGTTAGATCTTGTGACATTGAATCTGTCTAGCTATATCATATATCTAGCAAAATAAATTAGATCAACTGGTCTGGCTGAGGTCCTCGGTTTGAGCACATCTTAACACTAAGAAGTTCACATTGAATACTAAAAAGGTTGCTATCTACTTCACAATAATAGAAAACAAAATATATGTTAGTAGGGAACATAAGGGAACACAAATCACTGTAAATAATATTTTCTCAATCTCAAATAACCCATAACTGGAAGACTTAATAATATTAATTTAGTAATAAATTGTAAAACATTGTAAAATTTCTTTTTATTATAAATACGTTTCTTAATCTCACTTTTCTGGCCTTCAATTTAAGCCATAATCATGGCTAATAGGTAGATATCAACAAAAATAAGAACAACTTTGTGCATATAAATGAATATAAATAAAAAGTATTGAACATGGTATGATCTATAATGTAAAAAGTTAACATATAAAGAATATATTGCAATATCAAACACACACAGACGCATTAATAAAATAAATGTTTCTCACCTTCATCTGGGACAATGAACTCCTTCTCACGTTTTATGGGAATAAGTCCATCTGTCAATATGTAAATAACATTTTAAGTAAGATGAAAAAAAACAACCTTATTATAATATTAGAAATTATTTAATAAATCAGCAATCACAAAAAAAAAAAGGAACAATTGTATTGTCTAGTTTCCTTTATAATAATTAAGTTAAATAATACAAGAAACTGGACAGTCTTATAAAAATGACATCCAGACTTCTATTTACATAATGGATTTCTCTTGAATAAAAATATTCCAAAATTATATCAATTAATGAAGGAAGGAATTAATCAACAAATATCAATTAATTAACAGTGGCCAGTAGAGTTGTCACTAAGGTTGTATTTTACTCTCATGGTTGTTTAGAAAAAAGACAAAAAGTAAATAAGTGGTTTCATTAATGTTTACCTGAGGTAATTGAATACAATTTTAGGATCAACTAGACTGATAAATTTATTTTTTTCATGATTTGTTATTGAACAATTTATTTCATCATTTGTTTTCAAATTTAATTTGTCAATATGGTGAGGATGGGAGAAAAAAAGCTGAGACCCACAGGAGGCACTTCTCTAACACTAATTCATATCCAAATTTTCATCCCTTTGATTCAATTTAGAGATAAGCATAACCTTAAAAATCAAGAAAACCTGAAAAAAATTCCACAAATGGCAGAAAATACTTGAAGATTCCCCAAGGGCACTTCTCTAACACTAATTCATATCCAAATTTTCATCCCTTTGATTCAATTTAGAGATAAGCATAACCTTAAAAATCAAGACCTGAAAAAAATTCCACAAATGGCAGAAAATACTTGAAGATTCCCCAAGGGCACTTCTCTAACACAAACTCCATCAATACTAAGATTCACTCTTGTTTTATTTGGTGTTCTCACTTGTGTTATAGTTTTAGTGTCTTTGTTTTTCTTGGATCTTTTTGGTGTTGGTTGTTGAACTGAAATTTTTAATGTTTTATTTTGGAGCGATTTTTGTCCAGAAATTTGAAAATGTAACTGCATAATTTTTCAAAATTTTTTTCAGGATTTGAGCCAGCGCTCAACATTATTTTTTTGTTTTTTCATATCTAGGTCTAAAGAACTGATCAAACTTGGAAATATTACTATAGGAACCTGATGATGGGGACCAATTAGGAGAGCCTGTCATCAGTATTGAGGAGTTGGACGAAAATGAGGGGAATTCAAGTCATTACTCGAAGATGTTCATTTTAGCTACCACAATCATAATAATTGATCAGGAAGAAGGGACTTGAAGAGAGAATGATATGATGCCAGATGACTGACTATTTTTTCATTGGAAAAAGAATACGTGTTTCCAGTGATATAAAGATATTTGCAAAACCCATCTTATAATTATCATAATATACAATATGATAATTGACCTTCCTGTCAACCAGGGGTGACACTTGTGGCCTAATATCAAAACAGTATTAGTCATCTACATAATATCCATAATTCTTTCCATAAAATTCTCCTTACCATAATAGATCTGAGGTCTTTTCTTTCTTTTGATGTTATCCATGGTTACTGAAATAAAATCATTAATCATTTTGTTTGAACATAAATTTGGACATTTCCTTAATATATAAATTCTATTCAATGTATAGTATTAGAACACTAATGTTTGAGGAAATGCAGGACAATGACAAAACAAGTTCTTGGTTTTCCTGTGACAATCATATTTTAATCAGTTCAAACAACAACATACAGTTCCTAATGATCCAATATACTACACACACTGATACTGCCCTAAAGTTAAATTTATTATGATTCTCGCGAGAGATACCAGACAAAACATTATTTGAAACCCATCACTCATTACTAATGATTTTAAAATAATTGTAATCCTAAAGATCATATAATGGAAATGATAGTCACTTTAATAAAATGAGTTTTTCTTACCGTCATTAGAAAAATTGTTCTCTTCTTTATCTGAATAAATAACCCCTCCAACCTCCATTTCAGTAATATTTACTATAACTCATAATCTAATCTAAGTTTGATAAGGAAATATAGAATAGCAGAAAATAAGACAAATACCGGTACATTTTCTAGCATTGAGTCTGTGTAGTTCATAAACGAGCTAGTCAACTTTACCAGTGATCACAAGGACAGTAAAACTACCAGGTTCGCTCACTCAGAGGGAAAATGGTGGGGAGGAATTGAGCTCTGATGTAGCCAAAAGACTGAATTTACCCCTCCGGCCTTTGTTTCTGGACATTTTAAGATTATTACTTACTTTTATACATTAAATCAATACTGTATTGCCAAATAACTTATTAATTTATTAATTTTAATAAATTTGAAAGGTTGATTTGATATTTGGTTTATTCTGAAGGAAATAAAATGTAATTGAACAAGTTGATATATGATGTTTTGCAAAACACCACAATACTACTTTTTAAATATTTCAAATAAATACAGAGTATAATATAAAATAATAGAAATATTGAAAAAAGAAAAGAAAAAGTATTTAATCTGACATTAAAGAAGCGTTTTCTTTCCGTGAATTTTTGTATATATCACATTTTTATGTCATAAGTAATCCTATGTAGTGATTTTTCTCAAGTTTTTTGGCTTTGATTTTGTTTTCTTAATTTTTGCAAAAATCATTGGATATTTAAAATTTTGATTCTATTAAATATCCGTTGCTGAAAGAAAGGCTTTCTTCATTAATTTCTACATTTTGTTTCCTAAGAAAAATATAATAAATTTTTTACGATATTTGTTTTTTTTACAATATTTTTACGTTTACATTTTAAAATCTAATATTTTTTTTCGAGCGTCCTTTGGGAAAGTATGAAATGAAATTTTCTTTTCCATCTTCTTTGTGTCAATCAGATTATTATTGCTAGATGCAATTGCGCATTTTGTACGTGGAATTCTATAGGATTCTATTAATAATTATGTTATTATGAGAAATACAAGAAGTACTAATAAGGACAAACGAATTCTCTGTAACATGTTATTAAACATTAAAAATAAATACTCGTTATAATATTATTTTAGAGACGGATAAGTAGTTGACTGTTAAGATTTAAGATTATAAGGTGAAAATTATCAGGATTTGTAGTAAAATTTGTTTATTTTTTAAATTAAATTTATTTATTTAAAGAAATTTTGACTACAAATCCTGACAAAGATCTTCACCCTTATAATATTATTATAATATCGTTATAATATTAAAAGAAATACCCACGAGATCTATAAAAAATATTACACAAACATTGTGCTCAAATGTTCTCTAAATAAATATAAATCTTAGTTTTTTTCTATTTATATAATATATTTACATATCATTTATAGAAATTTTGAAAAAATGTACTTATAAATAATCTTAATATCAATTTCGTTCTTTTCATTTCAGGCCCGGCCTATAATTTTCATAGCATTTTATTCTAGATTGATAGCCGTATTTATTCATTGATCTACTTGAAATTATCATCAATCAATCGTCAAAAATACAGAAAAGTGTTCTTCTCAATAAATTAAACAAGAAAAAAAACAAAAAAAAAACAATAATGTTGAAATAAGCCTTCATTGATAGGCTTGAAAGAGTAATAGGTAGGTCTGACAGTCTATTCCTTACGTCACGCTTCAAGTTCCCGAGTGAGCGAACCTGGTAGTTTTATTGACCTTGCAGTGATCACTTCATATTGTGTGCTCCCATTTTCCCGCACTTTTAAATTAGGTTCTATCTCATATAATACTTGGACAGTGAGCTAAACAGTGAAATTTCGATAACAGCTTACAGGATAGCAGATACTAAACGATATATGTATCACGGGCGGATCTACGGGGGGGGGGGGCTTTCGGACTGAAGCTCCCCCCAAAATGGAAAAATATAACCATGTTTTATGGGGAAAAAATTTAAAAAATACCTCTTAAAGTATTATTGTTCGTGTAATTACATTTAAAAGTACTTAAGGAATAACTTAAACACCATATCATATAGGTAGTTAGTTTCTTTCTGTTTTTCCAAAGTAATTATCGTTATTTTTATGAAAAAAAAAAGGTTTCGGGCTGAAGCCCCCCCCCAAAATTAAATCCTGGATCCGCTAGTGATATGTATATCACTACCGTTAGAAGTTCGTATGTAAAAATTGAGCTGTTTTACAGTAAAGCATCAAAACCGATATTAGTACAATTTCATATTTTATTTCTCTCTGCTATTTTCTTATTTAGCAGACTACTTATAGCAGTTGCAGAGTACAAAATGTCACCTTTACCGCAAAGAGAATAATTATGTAAAAATGTTACATAGGACATTTTGCAAGAACAGTAGCGATATATAACATTTCCAAACCATGTTAACCATGTTCAACATTTTTCCAAGTCATATTAAATTTTGTTTCATTTTGTTGATGAATTGACGTGTTTAATATTTTTCGATGTACTATCACACCTCAGTTCCGGCCTTAGAAAAAAATATTTATCAATTAAGCAATTTTGAATTTTATTTCATAAGAGTGTAATTGGTGACCCTTTTCAAGTGCAAATTTCTTCAAATGCAGTATATAAATTTACCATATACACTTACTTAATGACTTTTTCCAAAAAAACCGAAGGGATGTGTAAAACATAAAGTATACTACCTATACCATAACATATACTACCTATACCACTAAAACCAACGAAGGGTCTTGGATTCAGTAGTATTTCTTAGTAAACGGTTGTACAAGGAACTGATTTGACCGAGATCACTCTCAAATTACCCCACTAGGTTTCCCCACCTAATTAATTATTTAATTAAGGATACCCACGTTTTAGAGGCTGGGTGTGCCCCAGAAGGGTCTTCTGACACCAGGGTCGCCCTACGGCTGATGAAGCAGAATAAATATTTTTTCTGCCATGAGCCTGGATTCAAACCTGGGACCTTGAGCATTGGAAAATCAGTCACACACATACATTAAGATTTCATGACCTCTTAGTCTTATCTTTTAAATATTAGTGCCTTCTGTGCAATCCTCTTGAATATTGGTCTATTATGCTATAGCCTTAACGGATAAAGTACTTTAAACAACAGGCGTTAAATCAGGAAGGTTCCTCAGAGTTGAATGAGTGTCTCAGGAACAACTATCTAACAGTAAGGATAAATAAGGTACAGTTTTTCTTCTCCTCTTTTAACTACTTGGTATTATTCTCAAATATCTGCTTTATTCCTTCTTAGAGTCTTGATGGAATATGGTTTATCTTTCTTTGAACTTATTTTGAAAAAATTTAATGGGTGTCAAATACTGGAACCTTAAATTGGCCCTTCCTCCAATACCCGACAGCCCTGTCAACTTCTGGGTCATTGCATAACTTCTTTAAAAATATCATTTCTTTTATTTAACTATTCTTTGTCGTTAAATAAGCTTACCACTGAACACTATTTGCAATGTAGATTATATATTTCAATAGCTGGCTGGGGGTGTCAAGTACTGGAACAAGTCATGTTAGCTATTGGAAAATCGTTTGATTTCAGTTTTTCATTCTTTCAGCTTATGTTATATGGCTTCGATATAAAAAAAATTATTAAAATATGCTCCGGATGGTATGGAAAAAATCCTTGACGATGTTCGCCGGGGGAATGTCAATAGTGTCTGCCTCACTTTGCACTTATATTACCACTCTCTTATAAAGTCAGAGGAAAATATAAAATTCAGCATAAAAGGAGACTATCCATTATTTTGTCTCGTGAAGAAGAAAATATATTATTCATGTTGATTAAGTATATGGGAAAAATAGGTTTTCCTGTTGCTAAAAATCAGGTTATTGAGTGTCCAACATCTGCTAACAATTTTAGATCGGGAAATCCCTTCAAAGATGACTGCTCTGGTCGTAAATGTTTTAATTTTTTCATTAATGGAACCTTGGATTATGCTTCATGACTCCTGAAAGCCTTATTTCATTCTGAGATTTTGTGACAAGAAAATTTGAAGATATGGTAAGATGATCCAGTCGCACCTTGAAGACATTTTTTTTTACATATCCTGGAAGATGCACGTCATGTGCTTAATGGCAAAAATAGTGTATTTTTCTTAATCCCAAGGGAAACAAAGTTTTAGCTGAAAAGGAAAATAAGAATGTACCAAAGAGTAAACAAAGACGAAAAGGAGTGTCTGACTGTTTTGTTGTCAGCTAGTGCTTCATATGTATTTCTCCACAACTTCTATTATTTTCGAATATGAAATGATACCTTCAGATATTGTATTCAGCATCTCGGAAACATGGAGTATAGGGCATTTTTTTTTTTTTTTTAAACAGTCTCAATTTGATCAAAGACGGAATCTTAGTTTATGATTAATTTTTTTTAGTATCTATTATAAAATAAATAAGATTATAATGTTTTAAAAAATGACTTTGGGTTATTACTTCCTTGCCTACATCTCTGTTAACTATAGGAAAATTCCAAATCCAACAATGTCGGCTATAGATGCAACAAAACTTTTCTATTAATTGTCATTGTTTTTTTACTTTAGATTAACGTTTCTTTCATTTTAATAGCTAGTTCAGGGTGTCCAGCGATTCTCCTCCGAAAAATTCCCGTACGTTTCCCGTTTTTTTTCGGATTTTTCTCGTTTTTTCATCGTTTTTATGTTAGTATTTAACCGTAAATACCTCTCTTTTACATGAGGCGTTTGGTTTCAAAACAGATTACATCGATTTATTTTTTTAAAAATATTTTTTTTATTTTTCGCCAGTGTTAAATGTTAATTTTAATAAACTTAGATGCATTTGTTTCAAAACCATTTAGATCTTCCCAAAATCAATACCAAAAGATTCGATTTCCGATCAAAAGTGGTTCTATACAACCTTTTTTGACCAGTTCTAAAGCATTTTTGAAAATGGATATAATCAGTTTTGAAACTAAAAGTCTCAAATAAACAATAATGTGTACAGTTGCCTATAGTGTCACGTAAGCTCTTATCGAAACCTATACTTTTGTTAAACTTTTTACTTTATTTTATGAAAAGTATATTCGAGTAATGGTCTGCACATATATATGGGAGTTCTGAAAACGTATAACATATAAATGTATTATTATTATAATTATTTTGAAGAGGTCACTTTATATCAAAAAGGTTTTGTATATAAATCGAGATTTTTTTTTTTTTACTTTCTCCGCTGGGGAGGGCAGAGGATTAATGTCGGACGGGAACTCGTAATTATTATATCTTGTTAACTTC